TGGGATCTGGGGGTGATGAAGGGTAAGGTGAATTGGGGGCAGGGAAGAAGAGGGACCAGTGGACGGATAAGATATGGCAGGGCAGGGAGAGAAAATACACTCGCCTGTTTCTTCTTGTTCTTCTTGTTCTCCCGCCTTTGGCTACAGGTATGTTCCTGGTCCCCTGCTCAGAGTTGCCGGAGAATTGGACGATAACGGACCAAGTCGAAGCGATAGCAGGGATGTAGCTCTTGGTATCACAGGCTCGCAGCTTGAGAAAGTCGCCGCCGTCGCGTCTGATCGCCGAGGGAATAGTCCTGGGTTGGAGCTGTCCTGAGAACGAGGTCAATTTGCCTGCTTCATTATTGTATTTGACCACGAATTTCAAGCCGTTCCTATCACTCCTTTTTCTACCAAGATGACTCTCCCGAGAGGAGGTGAGGTCGAATCGGCCGCATGCAAGAAACGAGCAATAGGAACGCTGGATGTGACCCGGCATAAAAGGAGAACAGAGTGAGAGAGAAAAAAAATCATTTCTTACAAGCCACTTCCTTCACAGGGAGCCAATGGGTCGGCGCGTTGACGCAAGATCGTCGCGGCGAAGGCGAATAGGCGGATGGATGTGGTTGCAGACCGCCAGATATCTTGCAGGAGGCAGGCAACAAAGGCCACAGCCTGCAGCCGGGATTGGTGATATCCTCGAGGTCGTGCTTTGCTTGGTTCCGACTCGTGAGCTGGGCAAAGTATTCCGTACTTGTTCGGAGATGCGCTTCGGATGGTGGTGTGAGTAAGACGTCGTTGTGCTATTGTCGAGCCTGGGCCCGGCCAGCCTGACGTTGAGGCAATTGACCGACGGGATGTGTTTTTGTGTACGAATAACACGCTTGCCTACTATGCAATTAGTATACAATATGTTACCTTACTGTACGCCTTCTCTGCCCTCTTCTTCAGCAGCTTGTTCAGAAGTTTCGCCCTGTCGTGCAACACACGGACGACGACGCAAGAATAGTAGAAACAAGTTGGAGAAACATAAGCGGCGGCGAACGCCTTGTATACAGGGGGAGATGTACACAAGAAGTAAGGCAAGACAAGAGTCAACAAACCGAATGAGGAATACAAGGGCAAGGCAAGGTAGAGAGAGTCTGCAGACAGAGAAATACAGAGTCAGTACTCGGTACCTTATGTGAGGTAAAGAGAAAGCGAGGTAAAGGTAAGGCAGGACGGAAGAATAATTATGGATATTGATGCTGTATGCACGCCTATGCGATCCATCCGCCCAGCCATGTCCCATCCATCATCCATCAACCATGCTATCAGGACCCTCCCGCATGGCTTTTCATCGCATCCAGCCTCAGTCTCCCCGTCGTTACTCCTCCGTCTGTCTGGACTCTGGTGGTGTTCCGGCCCCCATTGCTCGCCGCCTTTTTCATCTCCTGGCCCGCTCCGTATGTGTGTGTGTGTGTGTGTGTGCGTGTGGGTGTGCGCGTGTGTGATGTACATGGCGATAGATCCCGAACAACGGCATGGCCCATGATGGGTACCTTGGGTGCTTAGCCCAGATGGGGGAGGAGGTGTCACGGCAAGCCGCACAAGCGCAGCAACCCACCCACCGACAGTACAACTTCAAGGTACTTTACTCTGGGTGTCTGCAAAAAGGTGGTGATCCCTGGCAGTGTGGTCGGTTATGATGGGCGGCTTCGGCGCTTCATTGGCCGAGTTAGTGTGATATGGACTGTCTCGAGAGACGGCACCCCCTGCACGTCGGAGTCGTTTGACTCAATTCACACCACCATGACCCCTCCCTCCTCTTCAGCCTGCCGCCCAGGTGATGCCATTTCTCCAGGGTGCCGTCTGCTTCAAGTGGGCACCTATGTAGGTATCTGGGCAGTACTCTCTCTTTGACCATACTCCGTACACAATAGGTAAGTCTTAGTATGCGATGCGGGAGCCACGAGGGCGGACCTAGAGTGTTAGGTAACCACGAGGTCAGCAGGTTCTGGATATCAGGTGTGTCTTGTTTCCATTCCCTTTTGAACAAGCAGCGGAAGCAGGTTGAACAGAAGTTGAGAAGTTACCAAGGCAAAGGCCGCAAGGGAGATAGATGGGTAATGAGGGTAATGAGGGTAATGAGGGAGGAAGAACCGTACAGAAGGCACCGGCCCCGAGGTAAAACGCCCTTGCCGCCACCAGCTTAGCACCAGGCAGGTGCATCCTCACGCGGGATACAACGATACCTTCCACAGTAGTTCCTTACCTAAGCGCCCTTCCACCCCATCCACCGATATCGTCACTTTCCCTCTTTCTCTTTCCAAGGTAGGTAGTCCTTAGCTCTTGCGTAGAATTGCATCCCAATCTTCGCACAGACAAGCGCAAATAAACAATGGAGCGAGCAACTTTCCAGCCTTGGAGTACTCCATAATAAGGCAATAAATAGTAAGGTATCGTACCTAGTTGACAAAACATGTTAGTAAACAGCTCTTTCTGGACTCGGGTTCCTAGACTAACAGCTCGACCCAAGGACCCTACGCCTTCCTGCGTTGGCTCTCTTGATCCCTCTTCCCTACTACGAAAAAACTCACCACCACCACCACCACCGGCCTTTTCCCGCTTGGGTCTTCGCTGCTGCCACATGTTAGTTTCCTTCTCGAAACTGCCATCTTCCATGCTATTCACGATGACGCGCCGCTGTCAACCACACGACTTCAACAACACCCACCGCTCCAACCCACAGAGAAATTTCTTCCAGCTCGACTGTCACATCCAACTCCGAGTTTCTGCCTGATCCAAATTCATGTGTATCAAACAGTCCCCGTCAGAACAAACCCTTATCCGGTAACACCCGAGCGCCCTTGTAGTTGACTCTCTGTACACCAGTCTGTCTGTCACTTGCTCGAATTCTCCCAGTCATTTCCGTACGGCCTGGTTGCTGGTCAGAGGTCTATCGCCTAAACCGCTCACTCGCGGAGGTACATGGCCCTCCAGCCACTCGCCCCGGTTGCTCATGTACCTCCAAATTAACACCAACCCCGCCAAGCAAGGGGACCATTGAGACTCAAGTTCTCAACTCCCTTATTACCCATTTCCTACGACCTACGGCATACGGGATTGGGCATTGGAGAGAGGGTACGGAGTACGGAGTATGCAGCCATGCCACTGAATTTATTGATGACAGGCAGGCGCGGCCTGCGCAGTATGCATCTGCATCTGAAGGGCAAAGCATGGAATACAGGCCCATCAAGCTCGCGGGGGAAAGCGAAAAAAGCGGCAATACCATGTCACCATGTCCATCATCATTCGGTTCCCACGCCAACTTACCACATCCAGACCCCTTCCCTCCTGTCTGGACCGCCGTCGTGACGCAAGCGGGACGAACTCAAAGTCAGGGAAGAAAAGGGAGAAGCCGCCGTCACTCACAACGAGACGTTGCCATGCGGACAACGGCTCGGCCAGCCTGCTAGGCTCTAGCATCGATGCAGCGACGCACCAGGCCGTGAGGTATCGATACATTACCGGCTGGGCAGCCATGCACCAATTAGCATGGAACGACCTCTCCTAGGCCTGGTATTCGTACCTTTCAAGCACATGAGGACCCCATCTGGCATCTGTACGATGGCAGATGGGTGTCCAGTCATCGTCGAACCAGCGCCAGGGCCGCCAGCAGCTTGCATCTCGACGGGTGTGCTCGCAGGCCCGGCCACTGGGCTGGGGCGCTGCGCTGCGCTGCGCTGCGCATCGGGAGCTAACATGCCCTTCATGCACATCCCAAGTCTGGCCCTGTCTGAGGAGATGCGACTGCATCTATCTACTGGATCATTTCGTCTACACGCGTCCCACCTCCATCATCGCATGGCGCATCTCTATCCACTCATCCCACGAGTGTCGCCAAAAGCGGTATGGCGGCTCCCTCACCGCTTCAACTTCTCAACCCACTTCTGGGCGAACTTCGCACCAACCAGCCACGCTGAAATATCATCTCTGCGGGTATCCGTAGGCTTTGGGCCTCCCGGAATGCCGCAGATTCCCGTCGCCCGTCTCCGGTGTCAACGTCAATGACGGAAGAGTCGAAGACGGGCGAGACAGCCTCAACACTAAACAAGTATTGTGTCAGTTCGGGGTACCCGGCATAACTCAGGCAGAGACCCAGAGGAAACAATGCGCTTGTGTGACGATAACAAAGCACAATGGACACTGCTTGAGGAACGGCGTCAGGCATGAATACAACAGAATATTGCCTCTCCCTCATGGCCTGCCGGCTAATTCTCCAGCATCTATCGACTGACACGCAGGTGTCATACGGTGTAGACCCTTTGGGACGGACTACGAGCACCTCGCGGCTTCTTCTGGCGGTCAGACCTGAGCTGGCCACAGTTGACCACCGGGACGACGACCGTCATCCATGGCCTTTGGTCAGGTTGAAACTATGGGTCAATGGAGAAGACAACGCAGCAAAATGCAATATTACTGACTTGCTTAGCTGCAGATGCGACTCGTTCTGGTCCAGAACCCTGTCGATGCTTTCGGAATCAAGACTTGGAGTGCGAGTTGCCAAAGGCACTTTGTTTCCCTCGGTGATGGCTATTGAGTCATCGGCTGAACTACGCTCGCGGTACAGTACGAATGTTCAAAGTACTGCCGTGGAACTATTCTTCTTCTTGACGAGTCTCCTACGAGTGAATGAACGCCTCCGAATTCAAGTTAAAGGATGGTCTTCGGCTGTATCAGCATCCATCAGAGCATCAGCTACGATTTCCCCCTCAGATGCGAATTTGTCCAGCGAAGCCGAGGACTTGCATCAAATATCTGCCCACGGAAGCTCGATAAAACTGCATGTTCCTTCTTCGGCCATGTCTCAGGTCGCGTGACGTTGATTTGAGGCAGTCAAAGAAAATCGTTCTCTAGGACAAGCGGACATTTCGACACCAGTCGAAGTATCGCCACCGTTGTTACCACCGTGGATGAGCTACCGAACGGCCTGCAACCGGTTGTCCCGCGTTGTCCTCCTCCAACCTCCGGCTTCGAGATCAGTTTGTGAACCGGAGAGGTTCGGTGGCGGCTTTGAGATTCAGCAGCATCTTCATGTTGGGATCCTTAAGGACCTTGCACTCGTTCTTGTGGTTCTTGCGCTTCCAAGCCGTCTTCTGGCATGCCTGCAGCTCGTCAGCATTTGCATGGAAATTGCATCTCGACAATAACGTACCGCATCACAATAGTAGTAATAGCCGCAGCCGCCACATTTCTTGAGTTCCTGTCCTTCCTTGCCACAGGCTCCACACGGCCGAGTGTCTTTTTGCTTGTCAATTCCATCAGTATACTTGACGAGTTCTGTATTCATTTGGAAAAGTTCACTCAGTTCCATTGGGAAGTCCTAATGCAAACAAATCTGTCATAAGCCGCCCTTGAACAAGACGATAAGCGAAAGTATAGGACTGACCCGACAGTTTTCCAACTTCTTCACATAAACGCCTTCCATCCAATAAGTCCCATCCAAGAATCTCTTGGCTATGGTGTTCAAGACTGCAACGGTGTGTCCAGGCATGAATCTACGGCGTTCAACCTGCGCATCGCCATCTAAATCAAAACGGACGTGGAATATCCAGTCCTTTTTATCGCGACAGACCAGGGTTAGACGGGGAATGGTTTTGACTGTGATGATCTCACCAAAGAGACACCAGTTTGCCGTATCGCGGTAAGTGCTTCGGTCTTCGGCGACATCAAATTCGTCATCACCCTGGAGAAAACTAGGAAAGTAGAAGATTTCCTCCACGAATTCATCATAGGTGGGCATGATTTCGTCTTCTTAAGTGGTCGTTGCCAACCCCGCGTTTTCAGTTGCGTTTGTAAGTTGCAGACAACCTCACGGTGAGAATGCAATGCGCCGCTCCATGCGGAGGGGTATCAGTACTGAGCATCAGCCACAATGGAACCCAACAAGCGAAGGCTTATCTGTATTCAGGGTCCAAGGTCGGCTTCTCTTTAAATCCCGGGAGGGTCGTGCCTCAACTGGAGCTCCCACAACATACGGGATACAAGCAACTCATTCCGAGGCACTGGCTCCTTCGCCAGGGGTTAATAATAGTATCACCACCCGTTTCAGCTTTCTCCCGTCCTTCAACATCAGAGTGTCATTGGTATCAAAACCGCAGCAGGAAAACCCAATCCAGCCCTAAAAGGAGTTGGTCCTTGTCTATTGTCAGGCTACGAACTACCTACGAATACGGCATATGCTTACTATTTTGCTACGAGCGTCAGCAGGCTCAGACAAGCCTCAAAATCTCACGTGAAGCTCTACTGGCCAATAGGCCCAATACCAGCCGATCCTTGGAGCATTCCTGGAGCTTGCTTGCTTGCTATTCCCTGCACTAGCTTGCTAGATTCGGCAAAGCTGCCATCCGTGTTTGCTAACCTTTTCAGCGGTTCCAATCCTTCGGGTGACGTCGTTTCTTGTTGGGAGGATTTATTTGCCTGTTTGCTTCAGCCTTCAGCCTCTCCACACAGACAGATTTCGGCATCAGATGTTAGTGCATCCATCTATCCATCCATCCATCCCTCTTTTTTTTCTTCCCAATTCTCCATGTCCGTGGTGGGAAAGTCGGGACAGCCCACCGCACCCCGTGTGGGAACAGACCATCAGACGAAACAAAAGACGTCCTGCCGCTCGCCCCCCCTCACTCTCTCTCTCTCTCGCACGACTAATCATCTATCCCTTGAATCCTTACCTTTCTTTCTGTCTGCTCCGCGGAAGGAAAACGTGGTTTATTGTAGAGGACAAGGTTTTAATCTCCTCCCGTTCCGCCACGTCCCTCGAGACAGACAAGAGAAAAGACGCGAACCCAAAGCCAATCCTTGCTGATCCTGAACCAGACAGGGAAGCAAGCTGACTGAGATACCGGTCTTCTTGAGGCGCACGACAGACGACATTGCCACCTTTGTGCAACTTTTTTCTTTTGCCTGTCTGCATAGCTACTTTTCAATCATTTCTCAGCCGACCGTTCACCAGCTCCCGCTGTCCAACGGAGTTGTCCTATAAACTCCCCTTCGGAAGAGAACACTCCGTCGCACACGGCCCCGCACACCGTCATCGTCATCGAACCTCCGGGGGTGTACCACCACCAACGGGACCTCCGAACGCCCGACACCGATACCGACCATCAAGACAAATAATCATCTACACCACCAAAAATAAAAAAAGATAGAAAAGGAAAAAAGATGCCAGCCCACCACAACCTCACGATTCGCATCCCCCTCCCCAGCATCCTCCCCCAGAAGCCGTCATCGAAACCCTGCAATCGCAATCCCCCGTAATCCGTCACCAACCCCTCGTAACGCGCTACGAAAAGGTCCCCGTGCCCCTCGACTCCGTCGTCTCGGACGCCCACTTTCTCGAAGACGGCTCCCGCCTCGCATGCTACAAAATCTACGAAAAAGTCACCGTCGTCCCCGGCGTCAAGAAGGAAATCAGCTTTCCCGCCGTGCTGCAAAATATCCCCAACGGCCTGCGGTCCCGCGCCGAGGCGCCGGGCGGCGTGCGGGTCTGGTCCGAGTGGCTTGTCGTGCCTAGGCCAGAGGAGAGGTGGCGCGGCGAGCACGGGGGCAAGTTGGAAGGGTACGTGGAGGGGGATTATGATCTCGTTGAGACGACGAGGGTGGAGACGAGTCGGATGTTGATGCCGCTTGTCAAGGGGCAGATGGAGGGGGCGCATCGGGATATGGTGAATAAGATGCTGGATGAGGTTGCGCAAAAGGTCGGGAGGGCGAAGATGTAGATGACCACCGTGCCTGGTATTGGATATACAGCGAGGGGAGGGTGGGAAGCTCGGCGTTTATTGGGAGGGTGCTTTTAGATACCACATGTTATTGCGAGTCGCTTTCGGCAGGAGAAGCAGATACAGGACAAAAAGTTCCAGGCATTTTCAGGAGAGGCAGTAAGTAGTGTTCAAACGTACATAATGTCTTGCGCCATCATATCATGTATCATCATCTATTCAGACTCAATTTGATACTGGCTGGCTGGGGTTCTTTCTTGGTCTTTTCCATACACAAATATTCGCTAGCTGAACAACGGAAAAAAACCTCAAATGGTGTAGACGAGCTTGCCCGCGCTGACCTTGCCCTCCTTCAACTCCTTCAGCCCGACAACGACGCCCTCGAGGCCGCTCCCGCCTTGGTTCTTGACGACGCGGATGGGCTTCAGCTTACCCTCGGCCAGCAACCCGCGGCTGATTTCCCAAAACTTTTTGCCGAATTCGTAGTTTTCTAGTACGGCGTCCCTCTTGCCTGTGAGAGTCTCTCATGTCAGTCGTCGGGATAGCAGAAGAGAAGAGAGAGACGTCCTAGTAAGAAAAAAAAAAAAAAAAAAGGGGGGGGGGGGGGGGGGGGGTAGAGAAAAAACTCACCAAAGTATCCAAACTCCTCCCCAAAAACAGTATAATACAAACTCATCTTCACCTCTACCTTGTCATTCACCCCCGCCACAACTTTTTTATCAACAGGCAACAACGTCCCGATAACACCTCCCTTAGCACTACTCAGCGCTTTCGCAACCAAGACGGCACTCTCATTCGTCGACTGACAATCCCACGCCAGCGTCAGCTCGTCGTTGGTAGCTTTACGGATATCCTCCGACACGGAGGGCGACTTGTAATCGTACACCTCGTCGGCGCCCAACGACTTGAGATACTCGAAGTTGTGAGGGGACGAGGTGGCAAGGACGCGGTAGCCTGATAGTTTGGCGTATTGGATACCCGAGATGCCCATTGCCGTGCTGCCGCCGTAGATTAGGATCGTGGGGGGTGGGGTGGCTGTTGTGGGTTCGGTTGGGAGGGGGAGGTTGAGGGTTTGGTAGAGGCCTTGGCCCTGTCGTTTTGGGATATGGTTAGCACTCATGCGTCTTTCTCTCGAGACGGGAGGGAAGGGAAGGGGGTTAAGAACGTACGACGGTGGTGACGGCGATACCGAGCGTCGCGGCCTCTTCGTCCGAGATGTTATCCGGCGTCTTGATCTGCACGTCGCCCTTGACGGCAATGTACTTTGCAAACGCGCCATCAATCTCTCTCAGAGCATTGCTGTAGCCCAGAGTTAGTTCTTCTCCTCCCCTCTCTGTCTGGATCTTTCCAAGAGCCAGATACCAGGGAAAACGAAAAGAAGAAAAAAACTCACGATCCATTAACAGGCCCGCAAATCCGATCCCCCTTCTTGAAGTCCTTCGTCACGCCCTTGCCAACCTCCTCCACGACACCCGCATAATCGCACCCGACCCAGATCCCCACGCAGCCCGCTTTATCGGCGAGGTCGACGTGCTTCCAGTCCGTCGGGTTGACCGCCACGGCCGTCGTCTTGACGAGGATGTAGTCGTCGGCGGGCAGCGTGGGGATAGGGGCGTCGACGACTTTGGCGACGCCTGCTTCGATTGTCTTTACGGCTTGGTTTGTCGCCATTGTGTGTGTGTGTGTGTGTTTGTGTGCGTGTGTGTTGTGCTGTTATTTGGGGTTCTCTGAAAGATTGTGTATGTATAAGTATGAGTTTCGTCTACCTAGCAGTGTTGGATGTGAAGAAATGTCTACCTAGCTGTATGCTTGAAAGCTGTATGGATGTAAAGGTTGAACGGTGTTGCTGTTAGTAGGTGTATGCTGTAAACTAGAACCAGACTCAATTGGAAAAAGGCTCTAGAAACTAAACAAGTCTTTATTTCCCTTTAAGTAACAACCCAGTCGGCATTGCGTACCCAAAGAAAGAAAGCTCCTCTGCCCCGGTACCGATAAACCCCTCTCTCTTTCCCATCGTCAAGCCGGCCCCGGCTTGCCACACCCCTCCAGCCCTCTAGCTTACAAATGCTTGCGTAGCTACCTTACCCAAGGTAATAGCAGCAGAACCAAGACAACAAGGGAGAGAGAGGTAGGGGTCCATGTACCCAGCCAAGCCAATGCGGTGGTTAATGGAACCATGTTATCCACACTAGCTCGAGAGACCATACGTAGTATGCGTGTGTGTGTGTGTGTGTATACCAGAGTACACCCAAGCTATTCCCACCGCCGGCATCATCGATCTTGCCTTCTGCCCCGCACGGCATTACCAGCTACTCAGACGACCCGCGGACCACTTCCCATCCCAGGTACCTCTGGCGCGCAACACTTGGGAGAACCTACGAAATAGAACATGGGCACTCACCTTTCCAGCAAATCGCGAATGTTTACCATACCCCGATTCTCTGTCCCCAGAAAGGTGCCAAAGTGGAGAGTGTGGGAGCCGAAGAGGCCGCGGCGACTTGGAGGCTGGAGCTATGTAATACCCCGGACTTTGCTGAAAGTTGAAGGTCCGGAGCTTGGGCCGTCGTCTCGTTTTCTCGGCGCCGCGGAGTCTGTGCTGCTTACGGACAACGCAGAATCTCTCACCCTTTCGGTAATCCGGTGCTCTCACTCTGTCAGATTCCGGCGCCGGAGACTGCTTACCTTATCATAACTTTCGGGACGCCGACGTTTTCATGATTACCCAAAAATGCCAGTCCGCTCCGTCGCCATCGAATACATGCTTTCATTTGGCGGTCAATTATGAGTGAGGGGTACGCCACAACCGACCCCGCGATGCAGTGACAACAATCTTATCGCCGATACGCACCCCTCCACTTACGGTATCGACCCCTCGGAGGGGCGCACTCCTGGGCTTCCCAGGTCAGCAAAACCTGACTTCACTTACCCCTTCATCAGATTATCGTCACGATGTGGGCCAGCATAAATAAATGGTAAAAGTTTCGTCATAATGGTATCTATAACAACGCGTTCTAATCCTGTAACCAGACCATCCGCGCAACGTCCTCTGCGGGCGTTGCTAACGCTGTTCCCGTACATCCGCTTGTTCATGAAGCGCCACATCCCCTGAAAATAAGTGTAGAATAAACCGTGTCGCAGGCGATTGGCCGCAAAGAAGACATAAAAACAAAGAAAATGGCAGATGAAATCAAATCACCCTGTTACCGACCACCATAATCACTGGCATATCCGACTTCTCCAAAGTTTTGACCCATGCCGCCCTCTCCAAAGCCTGTACCAGGACCGCTGACATACCCACCGTCGTCGCCTTCGTAGTCGCTGGCATCGAACGACGAACGGCCCGATATGTCGTCTTCGAGGCCGCTGCTCGCATCTTGCGCTGACCAGTTCATCTGGGCCAGCGCCGGGTACTGAGCCAACAGAGCAGCCGGCAGCATGTACTGCCCACCGGCGTCCATGGGATAACCAGGCTCCATGCCCATACCCTGCGCCGCCATATTTTGCATGTTCTGTTGCTGCATCCGCTGCTCCTGCCACGCGCGCTGCCGGTCGAGCATTTCTTCGTCCAACAACGGCTTGATGCAGATTCTACCCGCTTCTGATCGGAAATGTCGGCCAAGCGCATCGGCACGCGCAAATCTTCTACCACAGCCCCACTGGCCACCAGCCTTGAGGTCTCCCTTGCATACAAACTTCTTTTCTCCAGAATGCAGACCCTCGTGTCTCTTGCGGTCGTGCTGTCTCGCGAACGCCTTGCCGCAAACTGTGCAGACGAAGGGACGCTCGTCTGTATGGGTTCGCAAGTGAGACCGAAGATTATAGGCTCTAGTGAAGCGCTTAGGGCACAGAGTGCACTGGAATGTTGCCGGGTGCTTCTGCACACGTTTCGAGTTTCCGTTGTCCTGCGCATTTTGATATTCAGGGTCCGCCAATCTCAGCGCGATAACGTTGTTTGGTACGGCCGAGGTAGATTGGCGTCTGCGACTGGGGCTCACAGCTCCCCGATCGAGCGGGGAGAGCGATCTTGATGAGTCTCGGCCGGAAAGATCAGATCCTAGATGAGGTGATAAGCTGCCAGCAGAAGTTTGGCGCACCATGCCTCCGCCGGAGCTGTTGAAGGGATCTGTCACTGCGCGGGGTCTGGATCGCGGGCGGCCTATTCGCATGTTAGCTCCGACGTATACCATCGATACAACATCATGGTGCCTTACCTCGCTCTGGCGGAGTAAGAGAATCTTGATCCATTTGGTTCTTGGGCTGTTCAAAGTTGTTTTGTCTTGCTGTGGGCGCGAACTCGATGTTGATGGCCGGCGCCACTTGGGGCATCTCCGGCTGTTGCAGAGTCGGGAACGCTTCTTGCCCGGTGTAGCCTGCACCACTTACGAACCCGGCATTTTGTGCTTGGAGACCAAAATTGGGCGGCTGGTTCAGCTCGGGCATCGACTGTGGGAGGATGCGCGGTGAGATGGCCGGGCTGTGCGACGGGCTCCGTCCATGAAGATTCGGGCTGCCGAGCGCGGGATCCGAAATGGTGAAGTTGTCGAAGCCCTGGATCTGCTGGTAGAGACCGGCATCTTGGGGCCGCTGCATCGGCGAATGACTTTGGTCGATTCCGTCAAAGCTGTCGGCGCTCACTAGGTTCGGAGAGGGTGCGGCGGAAGAGACGTCAGAATACTCGGAAGGAGATCGCCGGTGGCCTCGAAACTGAGGTTGGCTCCATTCATTCAGTTGGTTCGGCAAGAGAGCGGCTTCGGGGCCGAGAGACGCATGTCTAGAGTGACCCGCGCCCGAAGGCGGCGACGAGAACTGATGCTGGTTGAAGGCAGGAGACTGGTGTGCGGAGGGAGTCTGGTGGGGGTCCGGGTTGAGGAGGTGGGGAGGTGTAGGAGAGTGGTGACTCTGGGGCATAGCCATGTTGTTCATATCACCCGGGTTGAGGCTCTGGTCGAAGACACCGGTGCTGAACTGCTGGTCGTTCTGGCCCGAGTTGGGAAACAGGGCGAAGTCGCCGGAGGGGAAGTTGGGGTCGAGGAAGGCGGCTTGGTTCTGGTTCGCAAAGGCAGCTCCGGACTGGTTGTAAGACTGCTGGGTAGGTTGCTGGCCGTTGAGGAAGTTGTTGGTGTTATTAAAGCTGGAGAAGTCGGCGGAGGCGGCTCCGTTGAAGGCTTGAGTTGCAGATTGATCCAAGCCGAGACCGAGACCAATTGATGCTTCGGGATTGGGCTGGAAGGGATTCGGAGACGGAGAATGCGAAGGATGTCTTATATGAGGCTGTTGATGCCCCGCAGAAGGTGAGCGACCGCGTTGGCCTTGTTGATCCATGATGTAAATGGGATGTCGGTAATCGGGATGGAAGGGATGTCGTGTGTGTACGTGGATGCGGATGCGGGAGTGTGTGTTGTGTTGCTGTCTTTAGAATCGGGGCGAGGCAGTTCACAAGTCAGCCTTTCAGGCACCGCACCGCCCTGGGGCTGTGCTGACGCGCGAGCTGACGGCACACAAACTGGAGGCGGCGGGGGTACAGTCGCGGACGACGAGATGTTATTCGCTGTCGCGAATAGGTTTGCGCAATGATAGTTCGTGTAGATGAGTGTGACTGAGTGACAGCGACGAGGGGACGAGAGTCAAGCAGCGAGGCCGGAGACGGATAAAAGCGACTTGAAGTGAAGGGGGTTTGACGACGTTTTGGGGGCGTTGGAGAGAGGAGGGAAAGAATACCGCGGCGGGAGATTGAGTGGTAATGTGCTACAGTGTGCGAAGGAGGAGTTGAGATGGGGAAGCGAGGACTTGGTCGGCGGGCAAGGAGGGGACCGGACAGAGAGACCCGGCACCAGGGCAGGTATCCGTATTAGGTGTGGAATTGGGGTCTGAGGTCGTGGTCACAGTTGGAAGGGGGGGGGGGGGGGACTCGGAGAGGAGGAGGACAGACGGTATGTAGGACTTGGGATTCGAAGGAGGAGAGAGACTTGGGAGCCTGGGAGGGGAGGGGGGGAGTGTGGATTGTGGGACAGCGAGGTGAGAGGTGCAGGGTGAGGTGGTTGACGGGCGACGTGGTTGGTCCAAAGGGATCCACCCGAGCGGCCCAATCTGGCTGGTTCCCACAAGGCTGTGCACGTTTGAGGATGGATCTTTCGGCCGGTGTCTTTGATTTGGTGGATGGGTGGTACCACGAGGTGGGATTGTACCTGAAATTGTGCCTGAGATACCTGCCGGAATAAAGTATTCCATACTTGAGAGTCCCAACGTTGGGTCAGGTTGAGGTACCTCTGCAACGGCGCGCTCCGACTCGGATTGGCATGCGCTTAGGTGATGGATGTTGGTGCTTTCCGTTTGCTCTGCTCCGCGCTTGGAGTGTGCTGTCACTTCCACGTTGAGAGCAACCAACAGCTTTCTCTCTCTCTCCCTCTCTCTCTCTCTCTTTCTCTCTGACGGGAGCTAGTTAAGGTACCTCCTGTAGGTACGGAGTACCTGCAAGTCTATCGTTGCTCTCCGGACTACCTACGGAAACAGCCTTTTAGCTGATCACCTTCTGTTGGTCTGGGGTTGAAATGGGTGTTGGCCGCGCGTGCGAAGACGTGGAGCAGCACTGCGATCCGGTGCGATGGTATGCTACGAGCCGACAGGTAAAATCCAAAAATATCTTCTGTCTCTCTCTCTTGCGCGCAGGGATCCTAGACGACTAGCTGGCTGTCCAGGTCGGCGTCTATCGTAGCTTCTCGGAGCTCTCAGTCAGACAGTACCTTGACAGAACTTGGTCGCTTGCTTGCTTGCTTGCTTGCTTGTGCTACATGCGACGAGACGGGAATGCAGAAGCTCAGATGCAAAAAGCAAAAGACGGTACCGAGTATGATGCGCAGATAATTCTTCAGAAGCAAGGTCCTCTGACCTTCTTGGTCTCCGTACGGAGGGTGTCAGAAATCCAACCGTGTCAGCGGAAACTCAAACACTGTATCGGTACAAATTACTCCGTACGTAAGGGAGAGCCTTGGATGGATGGGACTCGATGCTGGCAGGCAAATTGTAATAAGCTCGTGCTGGAGTCCTCGACATGGCCCGTTGCTGGCATCGTGGACCTAGGCATGCCGACTAATAAAACATCTAGGCAGCAAGAAGAGGGCCTTTTGCAGAAACCTTGCTTTGCTAGTGCATGATGGCTAGGGGTCAAAGAAACGGGCGGGAAACGGCCGGTCGGAGGGGTAAAAAGGGGTCTTGTTTCGAACAGGCGCAATCCAGTCTATCCAAATAATGCACCGCAGCACCATGCTTGTTACTGTGTATCCGTACGAAGTAGGTAGTCGACGACTCGAAATCTGATGCACGCCACGAGACTGAGACTGTCAATGTCACTGAGGGGAGCTGGGCGGGCATTTGCTTCCTATCCTGACAGGACTGGGCATCCAAATTCCAACATCTGATCCAGCATCCCCATCCATCCCTTCTTGGTATCCGTACACTACTACTACTCCGTAGGCAGCTTGGCAGACACTTTACAACTTGACGATGCTCATCTCATTACAAAGACTCTTCTCCACCAAATGGAGTAAATAGATGTCTATTCTTGTCTTGAGCATGCTTACACGTAAGACTCTAGACTCAAAATCAACCCTAAGCAAATGCTAAAAGTAGTAGTCTCAGAAAGGCACTTTACCTCGAGCACTTGACTTTTCCACCGAATTTCCATGTCGTCTGTCTGACTCTGACTTGACTTACACCGTCTCTCCATCAATGACAAGCTGATTGCAACTTACCAGACTTGGCCGTCATCTGGTCCCCTGTCCCAGCTGTTCCAGGTCCCGGTGTGTTGATGGTGCGTTTCCATTCACGTAGTTGAAAGTACCTCTCAGCAGTAGGACTGGCTGGGAGTACCTTGACCGCAGGGGAGGAGGGGGGTGGCCCGTACCAGAGCACCTCCAACAGGCTCCAAGGATTACTGTGTACTTGCGACTGCAAGTGTTGGGTTAGGCGTTCTTGCTTCTCGAATCTGCCTTGGGTGGGTTTCTTGTTTCCGGTCCGTGTCCATCCACTGGTTTCCAGCGCGCCTGCTGCAGCTGCTGCTCGACAATGGCCCAATAATTTGAAATTACACTATTCATCGCCTGGCGGCTGGCCTTGGCATCTATCTATTCTTTCTCCTACACATGCTTCCAACCAGTCCGCATGGAGAGAGACACCTTAATCATGCCATCACAAGCCTCTCATTTACACTCTACGAAGTACCTACCGATACACTCACTAGGTACACCATTTACACCGATACTACGGCATAGCGTCGTTCCGGCACGGTGGTTTTGGCTCTAGAGTCTCGAGTCCTCTCTACACACCGACGGACTCTGCTCCTCTACCGCATCGGCGGCTTCAAGAGTCCGGTCACCTGTCACTGGTGATCCCTGCGCCCTCACCGTCGTCATCGCTGTCGTCGATACTCTCGCCCTGGTCTAGACTATCTTAGCTGCCGTTCTGTCAGACGCTGATTGACAGGTCCCATCCACCCACTTTTCACTTCCAGCATCCAGTTCATTACACTACATACAATACCTGATACATGATGGAGCTCTGTAGGTGCATGATGTAGACACTATCACGCACAGTCACCAATCACCATGAGCGTTGGCCAAGCACTCACCAACCTGCCTCCCATGCTGAGCTACGTTGATCCTCCTTTTACCGACATCGACCTGGACATCAGATGGAGCAGCCCACATGGAGCAGTAATGAGCATCAAACATGAGATGAGAGTGGACAGTCAAATGCAGACTTCATCAAACACTGGCATCATTTACAGCCGCCGTCAGCTCGCCAACGTGCCAATGTCTCGCGGGTGGGCACGCCAGTTGGATCCAACCTCGTTTCCCCCGAATAAGCAATCCGGATTCCAAGCTCACAAGAGGATGCTGACGCTCATCACAGCTCCGTCCTCTGCTGGCTCGCCTATTCGTCAGTGAGCGAGCACAGCAATGTTCAATCCACCCTTGTGCACCCCTCTGCATCTCTCTGCAAGGCCGGCACATGCATTCCTCCCAGATACAGATCGAATGTGGCTCGAGTCTAATAAAGCATACGACTACGAATATGCAGACGAAGAGACGAAATGCCATCCGCACTGCCACAGGCAAAGTCCAATCACACTCAACGTTAGATGCCGAGCCCGCCATACCGTCGATCGAGCTGTGCAAGCATGTGTTGCTGCCGTCATACAAACATGATTTGCAACTTGCAGCACAAGTAATAAGCGTCAGTATCTTCAGGTACGAATCTCACCTTCCCGTCCCTTGGTGCAAGGCACAAGTTGTGCCACCAGATTTTGCCATGAAGCTGACCCCTCGAATATTCATTCGTGTCACATTTCATATGAGGTACCAACAAACTTCTTGGAGGCGGGTTCCTTGCCTCGATTGTCTTGCAGCCCCTCCAGCCAACTCAAGCTCGAAGCGGGCATTTCTCGTTCCGTGAGGTCTTGGATGGGTCTTCCTCAATGAGGCGCAGTTCCCCGTGAAACAAGGACCCCATCGCCATATCACAACCAGCACCAACAGCCCTGTTCAACGATATGGACAACTATAAGGTCGATAAGTGTCTTGACCGGATGGCTTCTCATTGCCCAAACTTCATGAGTGCTACGGTCCACGATATCTCCCTGTCCAGCGGACCAATGAAGGCCCCGTCGCAAATCTAGCGTTGCTGCAAGACGCGGAATCGCGCCCGACACAGCCACGCCGGCTTCGTGGCCCCTTGGCCCCCAAAATGCCAGGCGTGCCAGGCCATGCGGCATGCCCCCCCCCCGATATGACATCAAGCATATGGTTCTTTGCAAATCCACCGCGCGGCAGGAAGAAGCTTATTCGAGAAAAGGTGCCCCGTTTCAGGTCCATCCGGCAATCCAAGGCCGTGATCGAAGCGAACTTGCCCTCTGGAAGTTTGGAACCCTTCGATTTCTCCACACCGTCGAAGCTCGGGACCAATGCCGGAGCGGGCCCCCTTCAAGTCCAGGGCGGGGAGCTGGCTGTTCATATCCAATTTTAGAAAACCTTTCGGAATACGAACCGGACCGCACGGCTGGGACCTGGCATGTGTCCAACAACACCACCCGTGATGAAAGTCGTCGTGTCTCCAGGCGTGGCTCGCTTCCCCGGAGAGGGTAGTGTATGATGCCAAACTTGACGGAGCTAAACCACACCTTAGAATTGAAACTTTGTCAGCAATTGAGCTGGAGGCTGGAGTCTGGAAAATCACGCCATGCCCAGACCTTCAACTCTAGGCAGCCATGTTAGGATCTCTGTTTGGCTTTTTTTCATCCGATGATACGTCGTTCATCCCAAAACAACGAGAGCCATGCCACAGCCCCGCCGGAGATGTTTCTTTCCCCCTTGCGTGGCTGTGCTTCGTCGATCAATCTGGAGAAGAATTGACATTCTGGATCCCCACCAAGTGTAACGAGATCTTCGCAACGGCAGGCCTTGACGAATACCCCAGCGGCTACTTTAGCCATTAAGCCAACTTACACATGGGGAATCGGAATTGGACGTTGCCTTAAATCCACGCCATCCGAGTCTCGACATTTGTCTTCCTGACGCGGCATCAAATTGAATCCGTCATATGAACCCGCCTCTCCTAAGTCCAATTTCTCGGGTTGTGTCAGTGACAACACTCCAATTCAAATGTCGTTGGGCAGCTCGAATTCACTCGAGATCTTTGAACACTCTATTGATAATACTGAATATGGCATTCTCTCTTGAATAAGGCCTGCCTGTCTATGGATATTCCCTTTGACATAGAAAACAAATAAAACATTTGGAAATCTGAAAGTTCCAGTAAAACCCCAAGACCGAATGATCTCTTTTTCCAATATTATACAATGAGTAGGGGGCTGTCCGTTTCCCAAAACAAAAGCAACTCCGTAAAACGCCGGCCAGTCCCCCGTTCTAGTGGTATCATCGGTCTTCCTTTTTCTTACAAGTCTTCTTCTCCTTCTTCTTCTTCGCCGTCTTTCGTCTTCATCGCCTTCTTGTGTAGTAAACGCAAAGAAAAGTTTGGTAGTTGTGTAAAGAAGGACGTCTCGCAGTCCAAGAGAGGCCATCGATGCATAAATTTTTTTTTAAAAAAAAGTGATGACAGATAACTCGCGACGATAGTAATCGCGGTGGTAGTAATCGAAAGTCGTTCAAATGACCTCGTTACGCTCGAATCCCTGGGCTCTCAGCGCGGCATTGGGCTTCTCGCCGTCTTTGTACTCGCTGACGAACGGGTTCGGGTCCTCCTTCTGGTTAAGGTTGCTGAGGGTATGGTTTACGCCTCTGTGAACGGCCTCTGCAAGTCTTGTGTTAGCCCCCTTTTTCTCAACATTTTCCTCAGAGTTGGGAGCGGAAATGATCATGGGATAGAATACGCACCATCAGCCCTGATGTACAAAACCAAATCCTTCATCGTCCGATGCCCCTCGGGGATCTTCCAATACTGCACCGCAATATCCGGAATCACAAAGTTCGGATCAGACCATTTCGGCAACAAGCCCTGGTCAATTTCGTAGAGGCACCGTGTGTAGGTGTGCACGGCCTCCTCCTCGAGGTAGCCCACAAAGCGGTGGGTGATTTTGGGGGAGACGAGGTACGATAGGAACATACCGTTGAAGAAGACGCCCTGGGCGCCGAGGATCATTACCTTCATGAACCAGCCCGGCTCCGACATCTTCATGAAGGTCAAAAGGTGCATGCGCTCGTTGAAGGACTCCTCGAGGAGCGTCTCGATCCAGCCGTTGTCGCGCTTCATGCGGCGCAGGCTGCCGAGGTGGCGGAGCATGCCGGCGACCATGCCCGGGACTGTGGTACGGATTGTCAGTCTTACTGTTTCAAAGTCGATATGGTACTCTCCCATGGAGAAGGGAAGAGAAAGAAGAAGAGAAAACTAACCTCCGGCAATACTCTCCAGGAAGATGAACCGCACCAGCCACTGCGCCTCGGTGAGCGGCTTATCAGCGACGAGCGACGTGGTGGGATTCTTCTTGTCGACCTGCTGCTCGGACCCGAGGCCCGTGGCGCGGTCCATGAACCAGCGCGCGAGCCGGACAAACTTCCACGCCGCCCAGTCGCCGACGGTGCGCGGCTTGCGGTGGTCCGGGATGATGTCGTGCATCTGCTGCTCCGTGTACCCCGGGTGCGGCCATGCCGGCGCCGTGAGGCGGATGTGTTCCGTCTCCTTGGCCGGGAAGAAGTCGCGGAGCTGTGTTGCTTGGGTTGTGGAGAAGGATCGGCTGCCCGTCGTGGTGGTAGTGGTGATGTTGTTGTTGTGTTGCTGCTGGAAGGAGGCGGTGGTGATGCGCAGGCCGGCGAAGGAGGTGGTGGTGTTGTGGAGCGCCGCGGCCCGGGCGAGTTGGGCCGCTTGTTTCGGCGCGCAGAGTCTGGTTGACGCTCTTGATGAAAGCATTGAGATTAGGTGAGGAGGTGTGCTTTGGTGTAAGTCGGGGTGTGTGTGTGTAAGTCGAGTGGCTCTCTTAGAGTGATGTCAGGTTGTAGTGAAGTCAAGAATGTACTTGATAGCTGGTGATGATGGAACGAGAGTCGTACGGCCTGAGGAACGGCTCACGGCCCAGAGTCTTATATACCATTTGGAGGAGCGGTTGTCATGTTGATACGGCGATGGGTGTGTGAGGGTGGGGGGAGGGGGTGGAAGGGGAGCAGCAAGCAAAACCTGTCAGATGGCAGACATTACACAACGCATGAGCCATGGTCAGGGTATCCAGATCCGCGATTATTCGGCGAGGACGCGATTACTCAAGCCGACGAGGAAGAATAGGAATGGGAAGGGGACCCTACGAAGAGGGATCGGGTAACCCAAGCCCCATGAATAGTAAAAGAAACATGGTATAGAGAGCCTCAGGGAGACTTGTGATCCATGCGTTTGATAGTCACAGGAAAAGTCGCCGAGAGTACGCCGCTGAGACCCAGGTACAGTAAGGTAAGGTCTAGTATAGGTGAACACAAGGGCAAAGCGAGAAAAAAAAAAGTCAATTAGCCTTTGCTTTCGCATTCTCTCGTCTGACGTCTTGCCGGTCCCGATGTTACGGATACAGATGGGAACGCCGTCTTAGTGGGGGCGCGGGCGTTGGAAAGCAATGCAGATTGGATTTGCAATTGCAAAGGCCGCGGAGACAGGGATGCGAGTCCGCCGTAGGGCGTAGCTGCGTAGTGGAAACCGACGAACTGTAAAACGTGGAAATGCTGTCAAGTCAGCTGGACCAGATTGGCGGCGTCGATGTCGGGTCGTATCGGGATGTGAATGTTTTGTCCCTGTGTTCAGACCCTAGAGGCTGGCAGCACATACGGAGTACGTGAGGCGCACACAGACATTTGTCCAGCTGCTACAGAATTCGTTCCGCTCCGTTTTCGTGGGGGATGTGATTGGATGAGATACTGTCAGCTTTCTGCCTTGATCCGTCGAGTCGCGGACTTTTGTTGTCTCTTTCACCAGTCAGAATTCAGTCGTCGTATTACAGAGTATCTTATTCTGGTGTTTGCTTACTACTGCTGTTGCATGTCTTCGCTTGCAGCTGTAATGATCGACGTCTGGTCAAAATATCGGAGCTGAAGTCCGCCGATGTACCGACTTTCTGCTTTGATGAGGTGTCAATAGCCATGGCACTTCAATGTCCAAAGAGGCGCCCTAGACTTCCGCGTATACGACTGAACAGTCATAGAGGAATTGGACGGAACCCTCGAGTCATGAGGAAGAGGTATTTTGTCGATATCCTGCTCACCGAGGGGTTCTAGAGTTGGACGGCGATTGAAGATCGCCCATCATCTCCACTTGACAAGCTCTGGAGCCCGAGGAGGCCGGGCGCCACTGTGACAGGCCAAACTTTCAAATCCCGTATTGTTGGCACTTGGCAAGTTGACACAAGCACAGCAATTTGCGACATGCTCCGGGGAGCAAGGCGGAAACTTGTCACCCGACCCCCCGACCCCGACCCCGACTCCGACTTTTCTCTCCGGAGGTCCAATGCCATGCAGACCGTATCGGCTTCCTAACTAGGTATCGTTGCTTCGAGTCCAAGACGAGAACCACTCACTCTGGACGCGGAAAGGACGAAATATCTGGGATCTTAGTAATGTTTTGCGTTCCATGAAATGGAATCGATCTATTCACTCATTTGATGGATCTGAGAATGAGAAGGATCCAGCGGAAACCCGCTCGAACCTTTGTGGATTCTGCCAAACGCCCAATAAAGGCAAGGCAAGTGTAGATACCTGAGGGCCTCTCAGGTGAAGGAATTTTTGCTGGTCACGCTGGCGCAGTTTGAGGTTGTTTTTAATAAAGCATGCGGAAGACATCGGGAGAAGGCGGCTCTGCAAGCGCGGAGCAATGTCAGGAACGCTAAGAGCAGATCATGCATGACCTCGACGACGAAAACAGCGTTGGGGATACCTGAGGCTGGATCTGTGATGCCTCATGAGGCTCCACTTTGCATTTGCGATGTTGACTGTCCGTATAGAATTTGCGCCCTCTAACGACATGTTTGGTGTGCTCAAGGAGTCGGTACGGTTAAGGGATACTGATGTTGCTCGTATACGGCGTACAGCATGCTGGACCAATACACAATAATCGATGACGAATTCGTCGAAATTGTGGCATCAACATGCGTAGGTAATGAATTTGTTGCATCGTTGTCCTGACGCGCAAAACCATCTCACAAGATGGTTGGATTGACCTTCCTCACCACGATCCACAAGGGACCGCGAGCAATGAAAGCAGAATGAAAAATCTTCTTCAAGATGAAATTGGGGTTCAAAAATTCCCTAGCCAGCCGAAGCCAACTAGGAGTGGTCATAGTTATAGTTTTCAACTAGCAAAAACACGATCTCGGACGAATCCTCACTGATACGCGTAAAGCCCTTGCACTCAGATGAAGAAGAAAGAGAGAAAAACAAGCAAAGCTGGTAGTGGGAGGTGGGCTACTTATAGGGACCCGAGGTGGACCCGCAATCAGTAAAAAAGGGTACGTACCGGAGATGGGTGCCTTGGCTGCCTTCCACTGTCCAGGCAGGTGTCAGCCTCCAGTTCTCCAGGTGGTTCCTTCCTTTCGATTCGCTTCTGGTGAATGCCGCAGGGGTTGCCTTCTGCACGACCCACACACAAGGAGATCGACTTGCCTGCCCTGAATACCTCAAGGTACGGAGTACATGCCAAGACGACCTCTCATGATGCTCTGTGAACATCGACCTGAAGGCTTCGTGAGTCTGCCCTTTGAATACACTATCATCTCCGTTGAACACTCTTCAGTAAGCGCCTTATGGCTGCAGCGTACTGACCAGAACTCCACCCTACAGGGCCCAAAGTCAGCTCTCTCCAGCCATCTGCCAACAACATGTTTCGCCGATGTCGTCGTCGTCCCACTGGCGACCTGGACTTACCTCGTCGTCCTGTTGATTGTTCTTCCACTATGTTTGCGCTCACTGCGGACTTCAGCCTCGGCTTCAACCCTGTCATCGCACACGGCTGAAGCGTCCACAACAGGAGACAAAGTCGCCGTGTCAACATCAGCATCGACACCCATGCCAGTGACCAAGTCAACCACCGTGGCCATCAAGATCGCCAGCATCATCTACTACATACTCATAGTTGCCATGCTGGCCATGGTATCACTTGAGATCGCCCGTCTCATTGTGGCCCAGCTCGGCATCGGTCTCCTCCCCTTCACTTATGTTGGCATACTCGCCGCCCTGGCCCTCCACGTCGCTGCTGCGTCGACGACTACAACATCCAGGCTTGGCGGGCTGCGTGTCTACAGTGGTGACGCGCGATGGAGGTGGACGGTCAAGGGCGTCAACATTTTGTACTGGGTCATGTTGATGTGCGTGATGGCAATCAAGGTTGCCAGTCAGGCCCAGGAGCAGAATGCACTGGGGATACGGACGGGTCAGCAGGCGCAATATCCCATTTCGGATTCCATCACGGACAATGCGACTATGGTGGGGGTGGAGATGGTGCTGTTGATCTTGGAGTTGTTGACTATCTAGCCGTAGTTACAGCTTCGTCGAAGTTCTAATACCTAATATTGTACATCATTTGGGGTGCGACAACAGCATGGCGAACTGATCATGTCTTTGTGGTAGAGGTGGCGCTCTCTGCAAAGCGACCTTTGTGGCTGTGCGAGAAGAGCCAAACAGACTAACAGAGTAGGCGCGGGGTCATTTTGGTGACTCACTGCGTAGATGCGTGGAACGTTCATGAGTCCTCCGTGATGCCTTCCCTTACTGACGGCGTAAGTTTCGCGGTATTCAAAGCTTGAGTTAAAGTATCTGACCCGAAGTGGTATTCTAGGTCATCGAGGCCAATGAGGCCAAGAATGAGACTCTGTGGAAGCGTATTGATGGCGAAGTTTTGTCAGTCACCTCAGGCAACAAGAACAAGGGTGATGGCGGGGTTGTGATCTCAACCACCACATGTCAGGGGTTAGAGAAAAAAAGATCTAACCCCTCCACGACGTTCACTCAGGACCCCGCCCGATGTTTTTAAGGTAACACAGAAGCAGTGTGCGCAACGCGGATAGTGTCCCGGGCCTTCAGACAACGAGCTGCACTATCGCCCAACTTTAAGGCGCAATCGTATTAGGTACCGACTATCACTCAAGATGTAAGAACCAAGTCTAGGTGAGAATACACACTGCTCGAGGGATGAGATGTAGTCAAGCGGGCGGAGAGCGGAGGGGTTATTCACCTGCTCGTACACATCCCAAGCACAAACACCTCACTGAACGTCTCAAATAAGAAGGCCTGCAGGAAGTACGACTCGCAAGACGAGATGACGGGAGTGCAAGCGCCAGCCCAGAGCCTTTTTGCATCCAAAGCCTCTACGGGTGAATGTAAGTGGACTGGAATTCGGAGCTCCAGCGCACCTCCCCCGCTACTGGCCGCTCAACCGCTGCCTCCGTCTGCCGCCTTCGGCCTGGCTGGGTTTTCCCTTCCTCGGGTTTCCCTCTGACGGTCCCTTCCCAAGTTCCTGCCCAACCACAGAACCCCCTTGCTTTCCACAATTTGTTTCCTTCCCGACTTCAGCCAGACCAGACGGACGGACCATTCACTCCCGTACCCAAACTCTGCCCAAAAACTTCTTTTTCCGCAGCCAACATCTCTGGAAAGATTCCTTGTGACATCTTAAGCAGTCATCTTGCCTCGCTTTAGATTCTTTCATCGTTATCCTTTGGCCCCGCGCTCAACATCCAAAATCTGACATCATGCCTCCTAGGAAGTGGGGTGAGTTATGCCTTGTCCCGCACCGTGCCGCACCGCACACGCACACAAATAATCGCGAGAGGCAAAATGTCGCGATGATCTGTCCAGTCTGGCCAGCGCAACTGCTACCTCCTTTCTTCCCAAACGACTTACTTGCTATGCACTTTGGACTTGACTAACTCCCATATTCCCCACGTAGACGAGGAAAGCAGCGACGAGGAGAGCTCCGGCCCTGCCTCTCCTGTCGGCGGCGCGGTTCCCATCCGCCGCAAGTTCGAAGACGAGGAGGACGAGGATGACGTACGTTGACAACACTACAAAGTCTATCACGTCGTCGCTCATACACTAACTCTTCTCTTGAAGGTTCTCGATTCCTGGGATGCCGCCGAAGACTCCGAGGTCGAGCGCGAAAAGGCCAAGAAGGCCGAGGAAGCAAAGGCCAAGGCTCTCGAGGAGGCTAAGAAGAACAAGAAGACCAAGGCCGAGCGTATCGCCCAGCTGAAGGAGGAGCGTGCCCGCCTTGATGCCGACGACTCTGGCGAGGAGGAGACCGAGGCTGAGCGCCGTGAGCGCCTCCGCCGCACTGAGAAGGAGTCCGACCTGAAGCACGCCGAGGATCTCTTCGGTGATATCGGAGTCCCGGCCGGTCGCAAGGCTGTTCTCGCCGGCTCCGCTGTCCAGATCGACCCCAACGACCCGACCAAGACGGCCAACATTGCCTCGATGCCCCTCTTCAACCCCATCACCAAGACCCAGTTCGAGCACCTCCGCACCACGCTGACCCCGATTCTGGCCAACAACGTCCGCAAGGCTCACTACGGCCTCTTCCTCCAGGAGTTCACAAAGAACCTTGCCAAAGATCTGCCTAGCGACCAGATTAAGAAGATTGCCAGCACTCTCACTGCCCTTGGTAACGAGAAGATGAAGGAAGAGAAGGCTTCCCAGGGCGGCAACAAGAAGAGCAAGGCGGCCAAGACCAAGGTCTCCGCCGTCGTCAGCCGTGCTCCCACAGCTGACACCGAGACCTACGAGGACGATGGTTTCGGAGAGTAAGTTGATCTCTCAAGACTGGTATCTGGCATTAGACACTGACCTTCGCTCTTAGTGACGACTTTATGTGAAGTAAAAGGCAGGGTTGCATTATTATCCCGCGCCCAGAGCTCAGCCCCTCGTATCTCAGCGAGTCTGCTCCGTGCCAACGGATCCAGCGCGGCTTCGTACCGAAGCTCGCCACAGCGACTTGGGTTTAGAGCGCAAGTGTCGCTGCCGCGGACTCCGGCTGCGTCACGATGTAGATGGGGGCTCGGCATTATGAGGGCTCGTGGGCTACTGGGACTGCCGGGAAGGTCATCATCTGGTTCAGATTATGAGAGATGGCATCGGAAGTGGCGTCGACTCAAAGCGGGAAAGGCGCTGAATCATGGGGGGAAAAGCATTTACGGTCTAGAGGGCAATGGGCCCAGTGCATTCTCGCGTATGATATCAAAGAAACTCCCTACAGAGGGGTAAGTGGCAGACAGCGTTAAGACATGATAGAATCGAATCATTCCAGTAAAGTTTTGTTAAGCCTGTGTTATGTGTCTGGAAGAATAGCCTTGGACGTCAGGCCTAAGTAGCTTTGCGTCATCTCTATGAAACCTTCCGGACGTCATAAGAAAGGTGTTGGTCACTCTCCATTAAAAGATACTCTACTTGTATAAGAGTGCTTGCTCATTCAATTATCCACCTACCAAGTCTGCCACACCCTACAGAGGTTTTCTCACCTGGTGGTAGTTTACGGGCCATCAAACCCGCAGCTACCTCGTAGGTTCCGAAGAGCAGTAGCAGACTAGCTTGCATTGAAAGACTATGAGATGTGGCGGTTAGTCTTGGTCGAACAAAGCAGTCGCCGCTCGCCTCTCGTCGTGTTCCCTCTTCTACCAAAGCCAGGAGATAAGGCACTCCAAGTCTCTGTCTTCCAAGCCCGATTACCATCTAGACCATCCATAGAGGGGATGGGGTACAGTTCTGTAGCTATACAGCTTTATGCAACCAAAAGCAAGGGTCCGCGGGGAAATGCTTGGTGGAGATGGTTATTGTGGTTGCGATAAGAGTCAACCAGGATCCTTGACAAGAAGAACCTAGAGGGAGAGATTCATGCGCGCACGTCATGCTGCCAGTGAACGAACTTCATGCCTTGAGTAGGTACCTTCTGAGTGACTCACAGCGTCAAATGAGACAGTATCCCAACATGTAAACATCGCAAACGACGCGTCTCAGCTGAAAGGTATTTGGTCAAAAAAAAGGGGTATCAATTATTTTGTTGTTTACTCTTTCCCCTACCACATCTATCTCTCATGTGCCCTGTGTGAAACGCCTCGCCTCCCAGAAAGAAAAGTTTGGAGGGTAAAAAGGATTGAGTGGTTTGATGGAACCCCAACACTCTTCTTCCCCTTGTGCAGAGATGTTTACCCTTTGTATATGTACACGATGGTTGTTGATTGTTTCCGCCTTTCGCCATCTATACAACAAGATTGTAAAAACGCCTCCCTTCTTCAAAAAATCATGCGCTCATTAAAAGACAGCCGTGCTCACGTAGAGGGCAAGAAACAGAGAAAGAAGCAGGGAGAGGAGAGTTGAGAGGATAGTTTCAGATGACATTGCCTGCCATACCCATAAACAGAGCATGGACGGCAAGACTCAGAGTCCAGAAGCCGACCTTCTTGAGCCGACGAACGCGGCTTTGCTGATCCTCAATGTCGCGTGCAAAAGCCTCGTAGGTCTCGGCCGACATGTCGTCCATGAGACCGCAGTCAAAGATGGACCAGCTGCCGTCGAAATCGGTGTGGCGCTTGACTATGCGGCAGTTGATGGGGATGTATGTCTTCTTGGCGTTGATGTAGGCCACGATGGGGCGCACGAGCGCCTGGTTGATATAAGAGATGTCTTTTGTGAAAAGGGGCACGGCGGCCTTGACATCGTTCATGTGGATTCGGAGATCCATGATTAGATATCTCCGGTCTTCTTCCGACGAGTCGGAAGAGCTGGAGGGGTCGGAAGATTCGGAGTCTTTGGCTTCCTCAGGGGCCTCTTCGGTGAGCTCTGGTATAGCTTGGGAAAGGTGGCCCTTAGTAGGTGTAGAGTTCCAAAGATCCGAGGCGGAAGAGCCCACGATTTTGATGTCGAGCAAATCCTTCTGGAGCAGACGCATGCGGTTAGATATCACAACGTCCTCAAGCTGGTCGTAAAGGTCTGACATGGCTTTGGTGATACCATCGTCAACGTCCGCGGGGAACATGACATCTGCGACGATATCGACGTTGCCCTCATAGATCCAGCCGAATGGGCCCTCAACGCCACGGTTGAGGTGGTCGATTTTAAGACCGTCGATGCGCAGGCGGCTGAACTTCTTCCAGGCTGCCGGCTCGCCCACATCCTCTGCCATGTCTCCGTTCTCGCTGGCAATGGTACCATGTACTTGACGGGGGTGGATCGTGAACAGAGAGCCATCAAACGATCCCGACATGTGGGTTGCCGATAGGAAATCGTAAAAGAGCCACTGTTTCCTGAGCTGTGGCAATTCGCATGAGAAGATGCTGACAGAAAAAGGTCGGAAGCCCTTGGGCTGATGGACAGTGACGAGTAGATCCTCGAGCTTGAAAGAGTCGATCTCGAAATCGCCGGGTTCGTGGGAATGGCGGTAGGATAGGGGGTCGACCACCTCGTCTGACCATTGCACAGATGTGCGGTCAACAACACCACGAACGCCCTTGACCTCGACATCTTTCAGGAAACCCTTGCCATTCCACCACTTCAAGAACGACAGTGTAACGTTAACTGTTGCGATTGACACGTCGTATTGTGTATAGTTGCCATCGTCCTCTTCCAGAACTTGGCCGTCTTGATCGGGCTGGTTTCCAGTCGCAGCCATAGCCGCAGCGCTCTCTGAAGAGCCCTTGCTAACCGAAGACTTGACCTGTCCTGGTCGCCGCGACACAAAAACATTCTTGAAGCTGATCACGCCATCTCCCCATTTGGGAACAATTGCCGACTCGAATACTACCGTGACGCCGGCAGATTCGGTCAAAGAGTCACCAACCCATTTGGCAAGAGTTTCTGTGCAAATTGATTAGCATCTGAATATAGGTAAGCCACAGAGGGAAGCTTACCTTGCGCGACGACGGTGTTGATGCTGAGAATAATCAGCGAGAAGAAGGTGGTCGTGCCGACCAGGATCCAGACTAGATGACCAAACAGGAACCACGAAACGAAGGCGCCCCATTCATCGATATTCCACGGCCTCATACTCCTTATAGATGCCCACTTGAATCGAACCTTCATTCGACCCAGGAAACCATTCGCTGCAGCCAATAGCTCATCCCGGGTGGGCCGGTGCGGCATCTTTGGAATGTGCAAATACTTTGACATTGTGGTTGCGATCGATTCGGCATCATGCTCCGGGGCGTCTGGCTTGCCCTGCTCCCCAGCCTTGGGGGTATCCTGCTTCGTCTGGGCTGCAGAACCCTTTTCCTCGTGCTTCCCACTCTTGGAGCTATGATGCCTCCTTTCGGCCGGGTTCACTGCGCCCCTCGAATCGGTATGGATGCCTCGTCGCCATGCTTGCCGGGCCAGCTGGTAGATATTCGACTTCTTCGTCAGACTGGTGCTCGTAGCGGATTCCGCAGCAACTGCACAAGCTGCTGATGCTTGCGTGGGTGCGAGTTCTGTGGTAAACCCAACCAGCAGCAGTCCACTGCCTGTATAGCTTCGTCGCGCATTGTGGATATTCGGCCGAGGGAACGAGTGTTGTGACCCGGAGTGTATCGACCTTCTGAAGGTATTCGGTCGAGGGAGGGAAGGGTTGACTGTAGGTTGATTGGCTTTCAAACAGGCATTTCTCGTCGTTGCCGTTGTGATAGTCGTTCCTCGCAAACCCAGAGTCTGCGCCGATCCGCAGGCGCAAGACCAGAAGCGACGCCCAAGAAGAGTCGATGAAGCGTTAGACATTTCTCAAGCTCATCCTGTCTCGGTTGAACAGAGAGACGACAATAAGAAAAAGAATGAAGAGGGAGGGGAAAACGGCCCTGTTTATTTACCGCAGCAACAAAAGGACCAAGGAGCAATACAGTCAGAGGGGTTGAAGCAAAGCAAGTATCGAGGGAGGCACACGGCAAATGTTAGCACATTTCATGCGCTCATGCAGAAATGACTGAGATGCAAAGCTGGGCCAGGGAAGGGCAAGCCTGTGAAAAGTCATCCATGACGCGCTACCGCAGCTTTACCTCGCTGAACCCGGCTGGACCCGTTCCAAAGGCACCTTACGTATGGGGCGTCCGCGCTTCCAGCAGAAAAATTCAGAGGCACATCATGGCCCGTGCTTCGAGTATGGGCGGCCTGGGCCCAATGCTGGTCCTTGACTTGCTGACATAAGATCTGAAAGACTTGAATGGGCAACGGTGCACGGTGCCACCTAAATTGCTTAGCCCATCACCCCCGTCCTTATCCCCTTATCGATAACGAAACACAAAAATTTGGGAATTCGGCGATAAATCGATACTGGCTCACCACCACTGGCACCCGCCGCTTTTTTCTTCACGACCGCCTGCCCACCCCGCCAGACCGACTCGGCTCGACACCACACAAACCAAGAAGCACCACCGCCACCGAAGCGATATACACACCCTCGATCGAGTAGCACTACAAGCGAATCCTACGATCGAGTCCTCCGATACCCTTTGTAGAACCGGAAATACTTGCCCAGTATGCCAGCCCCGACCGCCAAGCAGGTAGAGGTTTCTGCCCCGCCATTCGAGGCGGCTTTCCAAGAGCCTCAGCAAGTCGAGGAGCTCCTCCTCGATGCGCCCACCCTGCCCGAGGAGATGGACGCGATCCTGCCCAGCGTAACGCAGAACGGAGAGGAGGGCGAAATGGTTGTCGACGAGGAGAACCGCCCGCACTTTGCGCCCGCCAGAGACATTGTGCGACAGACCCCTTCATAAGACGTTGATAAAAGGAGACTAAGATTGTTGAATGTTCCCAGGATCCCGTCACCAGAATAGAGACTCGCAAGGTCCCCGTGCCTCCTCACCGATTCACCCCGCTCAAGTCTTCTTGGCCCAAGAGTACGCTTCCGAAGTTCCCTCCTATGCCGCGGCAATGACGCACCATTCTCTAACCCGTTTTTGCGCTTCTGCAGTCTACCCCCCGCTCGTCGAGCACCTAAAGCTCCAGGTTCGCATGAACCCCCGCCGGAAACAGGTCGAGCTCCGGACCTCGAAGCACACCACCGAGGACGGCGCCCTGCAAAAGGGTGAGGATTTCGTCAAGGCCTTCACCCTGGGCTTCGACGTCGACGACGCTATTGCGCTGCTGCGTCTGGACGACCTTTACAGTAAGCTGGCAGCCGATCCTTCATACTCATAACTTTGTGGCGGAAACTAACGAAATTGCGTAGTCGAGACTTTTGAGATTCGCGATGTCAAGCAGGTCATGGGTAACGAGGCTCAAGGCCGTGCCATTGGTCGCATTGCAGGCAAAGACGGCAAGACGAAGTGTATGGATTTACCTCCTTGGCAGCATTCCCAAGTTTGGGTTATGAAAACCCCCTTTTTACTGACATTGAGACTTTTACCTAGTCGCCATCGAGAACGCCAGCAAGACCCGTATCGTCCTGGCCGACAGCAAGATCCATATCCTCGGCGCGTACAAGAACATCCACATGGCTCGCGAATCTATTGTCAGCTTGATTCTCGGAAAGCCGCCCTCCAAGGTCTACGGCAACCTGCGGACGGTCGCGGCGCGCATGAAGGAGAGATTCTAGAGAGACAGGATAGCATCAAGAAAAGAAAAAAAAAAGCCTTTGGACAAACGAGGCAGGAAGAACAAAATCGTGGGGAAAAGACTCTTTTTTTTTCTCCCCTTTTGGGTGGGTTTAATGATTGGCATGAATGGCATCCTATCATGGACTATGGCGTTGTGGGCATTTTAGAGAGATTCCAAAAAAACTTTTTCATCTAGGGACTGAGGGGAAAATGAAAGAAAGAATTCAAAACATTTTTGAGTCCGTACATGCCACTCAAATCACTTGTGAGACGACATCGCTCAAGATCCGCCATTCGTGATTTATCGAAATGCCACTTACCGTAGTATGTCGAGTGACTATTTTAGGCAATAAGCTGGCCTGGTATAACTGAAACCAGACTATACGCCATTTGAGTTCAGAGTAGAGAAAAGCAGAGCAGCATTGTTCCAAGACCGTTGCTCCATGGTAAGCAGTCAGAAGTAAACTCGGAGGACCTCCCTCTAAGGCTATATTCCAATCAAGAGCATAAGGTGAGTGTATTCCTTTGCCATCTTTCGCTAGAAACCAACATTCCAACTTACTACCTCCAGCTCTTGTGGACTCTCGGCCCAGATAGACGATCAAGCACACTTGATTAAGCCATTGCACAGTAACGCGAACAACAGTATACAGGCAGTCCAAGAGTCCCAGAATCAAGAGTTACAACATCATCACAAACACAGCCAGGGCCAAAAGTAGAAAACTGTCCGTAATGCGTTACTCCATAGACGTCTATACGTGCCTAACCCCCCAAATTGAAGAAAGACTTTTTACATCATTGGCCACTCTCCCCCGGCGGCAGCCGACTTTGTCAAGCCATGCCTTTTATCCAGGCATCTTTGGACTGAACTGGCATTAAAACCTTTTTCCACTCCCCGTCTTTCCCTTACTCTCTCTCTCTCTCTCTCTCTCTCTCTCTCTCTCTCTCTCTCTGGTTTCACCCCCTTGCTCTCAGCTAAATGCTTCGAGTTTGTGTTCAAATCTTCAGATAAAGTCACTGAAGATGGAGGATTGTGTGTGTGTGTAATGTGGTTGCTCATGTTCATTTCGAGCAAAACGAGCCCTTGCTCTTCGCGTGGAGTAACCGCTTACTCCTCATCACCCTCACCCGCCTCAGGCACCTCCTCCGCCTCGTCGTCACCGTCGAGGCCGCCAGAGGGGAGCTCGTACAGGCGGAGAATGGACTTGTTGGGGTCCTTGACGAGGATGTACTTGCCGTCCTGCTCGCGTCTGAGACACATGTCGGCAATGGTGCGGACGATACCCCAACCGTTGGACAGGGACAAGTTCATCTGGTTGGCAAAGTCGCGCGGCTTCCAGCCGACGACGCCGAGGATGACGTGCTTGTCGTTGGACTTGGGGTTGGCACGGGAGACGAAACTGGGAAACAGAGGTTAGTAACAGAATTCGGTTGTTTAAGAAAGGACAGAGGAAAACGTACCCAAGCTTCATGACGTCGGCGCGGGCGAGGATGCTCTGTACCGTCCACCTGGCGAGCTTGCAAGAGTTGTTCTTCATCTCCGTGGCGACGACGGCACCGCGCTGGGAGACGAGCTTCGTCCGCCAGTCGAGGGCGCCACCGCTGCCCTGGGCCTTGTTGTCGAACTCGTTGAGCGCGTGCAGGGTGACGAGCTGGTCGTCGCCGCTGATGGCGTTCTTCTGGACGGCGTCGACCTCGGTACGGACGACGAGGTAGAAGTTGTCCTCCTCGCTGTTGGTGGAGAGGTCGAACTTGCGGTACTTGTAGGCCTTGCTGGCCGGCGGGTCCGTGTCCTCGGAGGCGTTGTAGAAGGGGTTGGCGTTGGCCATCTCGACCTTTTGGCCCTCGCTCTCGACGACGACCTGGTTGGCAAAGTTGTGGTTGATGTAAGTGGCCTCCTCGGCGAGGGCGCCTGGCATGTTGAGGCTGTCCTTGGAGCCGTCCGAGGCGTCCATGGGGGAGTCGGCGGCGTTCTCGTTGACGGTGACCATGTCGAGCGCGGCGTTATCGCGCTTGTCGAAGAAGACCTTGTTGCCCTGCACCGAGATGACAATGTCCCAGGGGTAGACGGACCGCGGGGAGCACATGAGCATGGAGAGGATGCTGTCGGTGGCGAAGATGGAGGCCTCGTCCTTGTCGGCGAGCTCCTGGATCACAGGATCGGAAGAAGTCGTGACATTGTACGCAGCGCGGTCGATGGCGTTGAGCTTGCGCTCGAAGCCCTTGACGGCGGGCTTGTCGTAGGAACGGTCGTAGTTGTAGACGAAGCCGTAGGCGTCAATCTCCTCGCCCTCGTCGGCATCCAGGTTGAGCTTGGCGAGGCGGTTGTAGTCAATCTCCTCGAGCAGCTTCCAGTCGGCCTTGATGTTAACAGAAGCGTCGCGGTTGCGGGCGGGCTTGTCGTAGTCCTTCCAGCCGAAGCGGCGGCCGCCACGGCCACCGCCTCTTCCGCCCCGTTCGAAGCCTCCTCCGTAGCCTCCGCGGCCGCCTTGCTGGCCACCACGGGTGGTAGTCGTCCGGCCACCGCGAGCGTTCTGGGCGGGACCTCCACGCTGGCCGCGGCCGCGGGTGAAGACGGCGCCACGGCCGAATCTTGTCTTGGTGCTGTCGCGGGTGTTGCTAACGACGGAGAAGGTGGACTCGTCCTCGGCGGGAGGGGCGTTGAAGGAGATGGCGTGGCCGGCACCGTAAACTTGTTGGTCTTGGAAGGAGGCGAGAGAGTCAGCGACGAGGTCGTTCTTCTTGGAGGAATTTCGATAGCTAGAGAAGAGAGGTGATGATACTTACCACGGTAGTTACGGTTGTACTGCTGTCTGCCGCCGCGTCCGTCCCTGTCCTTGCCCTCGGAGGTCCAGTCGGCCATGCGACCAAGCTTGTCGCCCTTGGAGAAGGGCGCATAGGGGACACCGTTCAAGGTAGTCTCGGTGGTGACGGGCGGGCCCCAACCATCGCCGGCCGGGCAAGTCTCGACGAGCTTGACCCAGTCCATTTCCTGAGCCATGTTGAAAATAATTTCTTCCTTGGCTATTGAGGTCGAAATCGAAAATCGAAGTCGGTCTAGCTGTGCGTCTCTCGGTAAGGGGAAAGGGGGGTGGCAGCAGCGCTTTCGGGCTTCTGAAAGATGGAAAAGTCGTCAAGGGTTTGGGTGGTGCACACCTCCTCTCGCCGTTGATTTTCGTCGTTCGGATTTGGTGGGGTGAAGTTTGTGGGGCAGAGCGGGCAAAATTTCAAAGTCTTGTGTTTCGTCACCTGGCGGCGACTGTCAGCCACTCGTTTCCACGCGACCCGGGGCCACTGCCGGCCACGACCAGCTGCCCGTGCATCGTGGCCGCGAAACAACAAGTCATTCGCTCCTTACGTCTGTCTATTCACAGTGAATCACACATCCGAAGATACATCTCACAAGTCGGTTTCCTTCTCATCGAAGAATATCTTCACGATATCGTTTTCAATAAAGATTTTCAAATTAAAAAAAAAATGTACATCTCATTAAGGCCGTGGTATCAAAAGTAGTCCCCAGGATTTCCCAGAATACGCTCCAAATGTTTCTAGTTTGAGCCTCTCCTCACACCATACCATGCATACAAAGATTCACTGAATCTCCTGATGCAATGCCCCCTCTCGTTTCGCCAGATTCATGTCACCCGCTCTTAGTAGGCGTAATTCATCATCTCCGGTCCGGAGCAGAAAACATTCTCCAATGCATCCCTGACCTCAAACTCTTCCATGACGGCACCAAAGCTGGTCACAGTCAGAATAAGCCACAGAAAGTGCAAATCGCAAGGTAGAAACATACCCGTAGCATCGGACCTTGTCCTTAAGCTCGTCAGTGAGCTTCTGGAAATCCTCGGCGCGAAGTTCGTGGGCTCTGGGGTGCCCCAGAACCATGCCCCAGGCCATGACCGGCGTGACCTCTCCATCGAGGTTCAGCTTTTTGCTGAGGTCAAGCAAGGCCGAGAGGCTGCCTTTGCTCACTTCCCACGTCCTCTGCTGGGAGTCCAAGTCCCCATTGACATTGCTGTACCCGAACGGGATATCGGGTGTCAGCTCCGGGAAGGGCGCCGGGGGGCACGAGGCCATCAACGCGTGTCCGCAGGGCTCGCCGCCCATCTCGCTTGATCTCTCCAACAGCCAGGGCATGTGATTCATGCAGGGTTTCTCGAGACTGTTACATACCCTCGATAAAATCGCACTCGTCAGCAAGCTCTTCTTCCGTTCGTTGCAATCATCGTTCAGCTCACACCACCCGACTCCCGATGATGTCCAGAACTTGGTGATATGACAAGTACTTTTCACTGCGGGGGAGGTGATAGGTATGCCTTCGAGGGCGAGGGGTGGTGGTTATCGTACGTTAAGACGAAGTCAATGCCCGCTTGCTCAAAGTCCACACCTCTACCAGAGCTCTGCCCTTGTCTGTTTTGTTGCAGTTGCTGGCTGCCCATCTGGGGAAGGGGAGGGGGCAGACCGTGGGGGTAAGACGGACCGTGAGACGAGGGCGACACCGACGGCGCCGTCGTCGACGTCAAAGGTGGTGTATAGGCGTTCTGACCGTAGCTGTGGCCCGACTGGCTGGCGCTTGATGTGTAGCCTCCGCTAGGGTTGCTAACCATATCGTCGCCATAATGAGATAGAGGAATTCCGTTCTGGACCAGGAGTTGCTTGAGTTGCCTGTTCTCCTCGGCCACCTTATCCTTGTCTTGTGATATGTTGCTGAAGATTTCCTTCAACCTAAGGACCTCGTCTTCCAGTGCCTTGATGTATAGCTCTTTTCTTTCACGATGCGTACTGAGAACTCCACGGTCAGTACCCCGATCGTGTCGCTTGATCCTCTTGCAACATTGTTCGTTACTTACCGTTGTGCCTGTCTGTTCAGTTCTTGTCGCCGAGTCAAAGCAGGTTTACTGTCGGGTTTCGGTCCTCTTCTTTTGGGTGTTTGGCCGTCTACAATTACACGTTGTCAGAATAAACTCTCTTTGGCACGGATATATCGTTATGCCTACCTCGCGTTGTCCTCTTTTCCGTCAGGGACTTGAGAAAGCCCAAATTCAGGGAGCTCAGCGGGCCCCGCTCTTGGTCGGAGCCAGAGCCGCCGCCGCCATACTGGCCCTGCGACGGTTGCTTCCCGTACTGGTCAGGCGACAACGAGGAAGCCATCGCTGCCCTCTCGTGAAGCTCGCCCACAGACTGTTTTCGTGCCGGAGACGACGACTGGTTCGGCGGGGAGCGATAAGCTGCTAAGTTTCCTAGGTCAGTCATTATGTCGTTCTACAACCATTACTACGAAAAGAGGAAGGATTTAAGAAGCGCGGCAGTTCATGTCGTCATGTGAAAAGGGGCAGATACGAGGCTGTGGCGGGGGGGTGATGTCTTTACAAATACGTCTCGATTCGTGGCGTACCCGACCAGCCGGAGCAGACAAGATGACTTGAAGGGCTTACCTGGGAAGATTGGATGCGCGATGGTCAGTCTCCCGCTTCGTCTGGCAATGCGATGCTGTGTGACGGTGGTTGTCGTCCGTCAAAGCAGGGGATGTTGCGGTGGAAAGGGATCGAGCCGTTCACGGCTGTATCATGCGCTGGGCTCTTCCGAACCTCGATTATGGTTATTTGAGAAGCTCTTCTCGAACGTGAAACCCAATTCTGGCGTCCGAGCTGTCTGAGGATGCTATGCGGTTGCGACGAGGGGACGAGCAGGGCGCGGGTAGTCGAGAGTCGGGGTAGGCTTGGTAGATTAATCCGCCCTGTTTTAGAACTGTTTGACACAGTCCAGACGAAGAGGATGGATGTCGTGCGTCCGGGGTGGGTTGGACGGTTGCAGTCTGGCTTTTTTTTTTTTTGGCTCCGGCTCAGGTTCAGGCTCAATCAAGCAAGCTCGGGCTTAGCAGTTATCCTGGACCTGAGGTAAATCACTGGCCGCCTAACAGCTTGGGGTTGGGAACCTGGGGTGGGTTGGGGGGGGTAAGGGGACTCTGGAAATGGGTGGGAGGAGGGTAGCAACAGAAAAGGGCAGAGGTGATAAGGAGAGAACGGATGACGGCGGAGCGGAGAAACCACCAAGATGGCACGGTAGAGACGGGGGGCGCGTTAATAGCCCTTGGTTTCGTCCTTTTGCTGTGGCTCTGTTCTGTGTTTGGTGGCCAATGTTTGTCGCGAATCGAGATGACAAGAGGCAGCGCCACCGCCCTCTTCTAAGACAAGATGGCGGAACTTGGAAGTCGAGAGCAGAAGGCGAATACGGGCGGGCGGCCAAGGCGGTCGGTTTGTCCAGTCAGATCAATCAGTCGCGAGCCCAACGAGTTCTGGCACGTCGTCTGGATGAGAGCAGCGAAAAGGATGACGGGAGGGTGAAGGAATATGCGGGGTTTCAGCGGCAGCAGCAGTAGTAGTAGCAGCAGCAGCAGCCCGTTGCTCGGATCGAATCGACGTTGAGCCCCTCAGTAATTATGATAATGAAGGGAGAGAAGATGGCAGAGCCGGCTAGCTAACAGTAGGTAGGCGTTCGCAACTCTGGCTTGGAAAGCATTAGGTAGGCTCTCTGTTGGTCTGGGTCACAAAGGCTTCCAAGAAAACCCCCGGAGACGGATCCTTGCGTCAAGGCCGAATGCCAATGGGTCCCCCCCAGTCTTCGAGACACGAAAGTACCTTAGTTAGGCGGTGCTGATTTGGCCTATGACTTGAACGATCAAGTCCGATTTCGTTGCTTTTTCGGAATCATCGGCGGTTCCACGCACTTCTGTCCCCTTAGCTCGTCTGCCTTACGGCGAGAGAAAGAACGTCGGCTGTAGTGGCAGTCTGACGAAGCTGACGAACAGAAGCCTCTTGAGATTCGTCACCGGATAGGGCTATGCTATGTCGAATAGCTAGGTACTCGGACAGCTTATAGAGGCGAGCTCTAGCTATGGTACTATGGGTGAGGCCGAGGAGAAACGGGACGCGGCGTAGCCAATACTGACTGTGTGACAAATATTGAAATTTTGTGTTGGCGCCGGCAATGATAGAGGCTGGGGGTAAGAAAGGCGCCTTCCGTGGACGGCGGGCGACGGTTCCTGGTCTAGACCCATCAAGCCTACGATCCGTTGGCGGTTGAGTGAAGGCCAGCAGCGGCGTGCCCGTGGCTGGCCAAGGCCTTTCTCTTTCCCACGTCTCTGCATCGGTTTATCCAAACCGCACTGAGATACCTACCTATTGAATTAGAGTACCTAGTCCAGAACCCACGTACCCAAGCTATCGAATGCTTCCCAGTGTACGCTGGGCTGTGAACAAGAGAACGGCCCGAGGGGCAGACTGAGTACGGCTGGAAAAAGGAGGCTTCAGAGGCTTCCAAGTTCCGCCAGAGCGCAACAAAGTGCTTTGCCGGCATAGCACAAGCGGGGAGGAATGGAGGGGTTCCCATTCGCAGCTCCCGTTCTGGGCCAAGGTCATACTACAACTGTGAGCGATATCCGTCCACGGGTGCCTCAACCGTTATCCTCATTCATCTCAGCTGTTCTCTTCCCGACAAAGGAGAGCAGGTATCTGTAGTCTCAGTACTCAGTAGAGACATGGAGCGAGAGGCTCGGGTGCAGCATTTGGCCCTCCTTGCTGCTGCTGTTGCTTCGTCTGCCTGGAATGCATTCGCATGGCTTGACTTGCTTGACTCGGCGTCTTATCCACCTCCGCTCCAGCTCCCCCCCCCCCCCCCAAGCGCCGGTATCAGCTCCGACTCCAGGGACCAACAGTCCTCCAACTCCAACCACGAGTCCCCAACTCAGATCCAGTCCCTGAGACCCCTGATGGTAGGCGAGGGGCATGTTTGCTTGTTTGCTCGCTTATCAGAATTGCTCGTCTTGGAATCGTCAGATTCCCATGCACGAGAGCCCTCGCCAGACGGAAGTAGAAGCCCGTACGTCCGTACGGAACGTGTCACAATTCTGACCCCTTGCTAGACCAACACTTCTCCATGGCAGACGCACACGTGCAGACTTGCATTTCTGCTAGCCGGCGGCGCGTCCAAAGTTTCCTGTTGCGAGGCAATCATGTAGCCTGCGAATCTCTGCGTGAAAATCCCATCTCTCAAGTCTCCCATCCACACAGACCTCGGTCCAATGGCCACGTCGACATCGGACGAGCCGGGAAAAAGCCAAGAGTCCCTTAACTGGACCTCACACTTGACGGCCTATTTCGGGCATTTCGAATATGCACACTTGACTGCTTGTGTCTGCAGCCAACCTTGATAAACGAGCACCCTTCGGTCTGTGTGTTCAGTGTGCACATCTCGTCGCATGTCGAATGAAATTCGGCACGTCGTAGAGCTGTCGGATCCTTCAATGCTGGCACTTTGACGTCTCACTCGTCCCTTCGAGACCTTCCAGGCTCGGCCCATGTGATTAACGGCCAGGAACGTGGAATCCCTGTCTTTGAGTGATTTGGAGGGGGGCTCCTCACTCCCATAATTGAGTTAAGCCCGCCGTTTGTCATTCGGCCCCAGAGAACTTTCATTGACCTTTGCCAAAAGTCCATGCCGTCATTTTGTCCCATTTGGGAACTTGGGCGGGACCGGACGTCTATGCTAGTGGAAGCCAGCCATCGTAGCATCGTGTTTCCTTTTCCCCCGATTCCCGTGCTGTCGCAATTATGTCCTTCGAGAAGATCCTCAGCCCACGATCGCCAAACCCTAGAGCTTCTTCCTCGTTAGTAACAGGGAATACGGCTGTACTTGTGCTCGTCGACTGAGCGGGAAGAGGAACGCGCACCTCTGAGACGAGTGAACCCCGGATCATCGTCCGCTCGTTCGAAACTTTCACCCTTGATCTGCTGGCCTAAAGGTCACGCGCGCACGCGGCTCCCTTTCGAAACATCTCTTGGTCTAGGGCAGGGTGTCTTGGGTTGTAGATCGGTTTGCCGCGCTTCGGCTCGCCCACTAGACGGCCAACCTTAATCTTTTCTTTTGGGACGTCGCCAGTTGCGAAATACCTCAGAGTGTTATCATTTCCGTGCATCGATTCACCTCCCTACGCCTCGCTCTCGGATTCCACTAGAGTGACTGCAAATTGACTTCTCAACGGTCATGGCTGGCCACGGCAATGTGCTCACTCACTTCCGAGGAGTTGCCATTTTAGCACCGTGGGTTCTTTGGTTGCTCTTAGCAGATACCGCCATCTCACTCCAGCTCCCGCTGAAATGGCTTGCACCGGACTTCGTGTACAATTCTTCGTCACGGATCGCCGAGACAGTTTGGTACTGGATCCAGATCATCTTTGAAAGATACAATGGCGCCAACATTACATTTTCCGGCGATGCTCTTCCACGCGGGGAGTCGGCTGTGGTAGTCGCCAACCACGTCGGATGGGCGGACTTTTACATGATCCAAGCTCTCGCGATCAAAGCCGGGATGCTAGGTCGTTGCCGCTACTTTGCCAAGATTCAGCTGCGGATAGTTCCATTCCTTGGTTGGGGGTTATGGGCGATGGGTATGCCCATGGTGAGTCGCAACTGGGCCAAAGACAAGCATGAGCTCGACAGAGCATTCTCGGGTATCGTAAACAGGCAGTGGCCAACCTGTAAGTGCTTCAGCTGAGAGTCCTTTTCTTCCGACGTGAACAACATACTGACGATGAACAGGGCTCATCAGCTTCAGCGAAGCCACGCGTTTCACGCAGAAGAAGTATGAGCAGTCAATCGTCTGGTGCAAGGAGTCGGGTCGGCCGCAGCCCATGCACTTGTTGTATCCAAGGACGAAAGGGTTCATCACCACCGTTCAACACCTCAGGAGGGCGGCCCACGTGAAGGCCGTGTACGATGTGACGATTGCGTACCAGAGAGGGAAAGACTTCCATGCGGCACCGACCATGTGGGACACGTTGAGCGTGCCTGGACTGAGTTCTCGACTTGGATATAAGTTCCACGTCCACGTTCGCAGATTTCCTCTCGAGACCCTGCCGACGGACGACGAAAAGCTGGCAAAGTGGTTGGAGAATCTCTGGGTAGAAAAGGGGGAATGGCTAGATGTTAAGAAGGCCGAGTGGGCTTCAATGACTTAAAGCTGCTTATCACGGTCATTTTCGTGGCCAGATTTGCACATCGTCTTGGAAAAGTAATGGTTGGAAAGGACATGCAGTCCGTTGGTGGTGTACAGGTGATGGTCGAACAAGCCAGCTTCATTGTCAGGAGGTGGAAAGTGCGCTCTAGTGGGGAACTGGGGCAGTCGCTCCTCCATTTGGGCGAATGACGGAAAGCGCTCTGCAGTGCCTTTCCGTTATATTATACAAACTCGTTAAA